GTTTTCAGAACCAAAGCAAAGGAGTGTTTGTTCATATTCAGGAGTGTCTGACATTCTCTTTAGGTAGGTCAATAACATCTCAGAGGCCTACATTATAAAATCACTGGTAATACTCATTAGTGATTGAGACCTTGCGGCGTCTCTGAGTTGTCTGTATTTAAATCCTGAAAAGTAATGGCATTTGTCCTAGGTTTTCTTTTTGAAAGCAGTTGCAACATGTGTGAATTAGTTCAGGTTATTCACAGTTGTTGAAAGAAAATTTCTACAGGATGTATGTTTTTGGATGTCATTAGGGGATGCTTATGGTACTTTGTACTAACAGATTTTAATTATATAGGATACCTTATCTTTGGGACCTGTCTATCCTCTTTGAATTAAAGAAGTTACTTATTGAGGTCCACTTTAGATGACCAGAGTAAGATGTTTTTGTTAGTTAACAAATACCTTGCCTTAAAAGGTTTCAAGCACATTTTCATTTATATTTGAGAATTTAAATTGCTGGTATTTATTCCTTAATCAACTTTAGAAATAAACCATTGCTTATATGTCGTGAATATTATTATACAATACATATTCTTAGAAATTTTAGTGGTTTTCATTTTTGGAAATACTTTTTATTTTTTCAAACATGGTAACTTGTAAAGGAAGACAGTTATGTTCATTAGATTTCACTGTTCCCTGTTTTATCTAAATGAAAAGCAATATTTCTCACCTATTATGCTTAACTTGCTATGTGATTTTTAGGGGTTTTTTGCTAAGCAATTTTTGAAAATTCTTGTTATAAAGGATCCTTGACTTAGTATTAGCAGTTTCTCACTCGGCTGACTTCCTTGGGAGGCAGTAGGAATTCACTAACCAAATTTACACAGAGGAAGGATCAGCAACCCTCTGGGGCAACTTGAAGTTACAGTTTAAGTTTTATGTGCCCATATATTTAAGAGAGGCTGGTTTTTAAACACTGGAAAAACACATTATGCCCCTGTCCTCCTAGGCTACTGTTATGATAATAGTATGTTAATTTTGAGAGTTTGCGGCTATATTTATATCTAAAGTTGAAGGACAATTTGATTGTTGTAAGTTCACAGATGTAAGCCAAGCCAGAAGTTTGCTTGTTTTATAAGAAGTTTGCCTGAAACATGTATCTTTACAATTGAAGTAAACTTGCCAGTGCTCACTATTTAGCTCTGATACTATGCTTTCATTTTTTTTTTTTTTTTTAAATCCAGTGTTGATTTGGACCCCACCGGCTTTTGCTTCTTGACTTCTCTTTTTCTTTTCTGTAATTTATCCACATTTCTGCTTGAATTTTTTAGGTAGGTTGATAAGATGTATTAAAGGTTGCATAACTAAGAACAGTTCTGTTCTCATTCACTGTTATTCATTAATCTCAAAAAGTAAATTCTGAAAGCTGTTTAATTTCGATTTCCAAATTATATGAGAAAGCCTCACTTAAATTCTGCTTATTGACACTTCCACTTAGTAGTTTGATTTGCCTTTTGTTTAGTAATGAATACATTCCTGTTTTTAAGGTGTGTTTTTCAAGCAGTTTCACTTGGTTAGAAAGACAAAATGGGTACTTATTTCATTGTAAACAGAGATTGGGATTTCATTTTCTGAATGTAGTTAACCCCCACCCTCTCCCAAGGACAATTGGGATCTTTGCTGATAGAAAAATCCAAAACAGGAGTTATGTATATACTGGCATGAATTAGTCACTGAATTTCAGCTTCTCAGTATCTATATAAGGAATTAATAAAATTTGCTTACTGACAACATAAATCCAAGGCTGTAACATGTCTTGTTAAATCAATGTGAATTAAATAATTTTTAGTCCCTGGGAAATGTGGTCTCTAATATAGTTGACTGTTTGGGGAGGTACTCGAATTGAAACCAGGGACTGAGCTATGTAAATCCCCGGTCCTCGTTTTATTTTTTAGTTTGAGGTGGAGTCTTGTTAACACGCTGAGGCTGACCTTGAATTTGCAATCCAGCTACCTCCACCTCCCAAGTCATTGGGATTACAGGCACGTGCCCACCAAGCCTGACTACAATTGACTATCCAAGTAACTATACATATATCATGAAGGAATGCTGCCTCGGATTGGATGGTCTGCATTCCAATCTCAGCCCCACTGCTTAATACAGTGATATTAGGTGATATATTTGATTTTGTGTCTTCATTTGGTTCCACGTAAAGTCAGTTTTTAAATCTGCCCTCTCCAACTTCCTCTGTACTCACATCAGTAAAGATAGTTACCCACATCCAGGATTTTAAAGTTTACAGAATCACCTGGAAAGCTTTTTTAAAGACAAGTTCTATGCTTTTAAATAAATGCTTTAAACTGTATAACTATCACCACCACTTGAACTGGGGATCAATCCCAGGTGTTAGTGCTGAGCTGTGCCCCTAGCCCCTTTTTAATTTTGGCACAGGTTCTTGCTAAGTTGCCCAGGCTGGCCTCAAACTTTGAATTCTGCATCCCAAGTAGCTGCCTAAATTGAATACTTCTTTTAAAATACAGCAAAAGAAAAAAAGGCAATTTTACAAGTGTTGGAGTATTTAAGTTGCTCATTGAGCAGATTAAGTTGGTTTTTATCTTGCAGCTGCTTTTTTTTACAGAAGGCCCAGGATTGCTCTAGTGGTCTTCCAATAGAGAGTAGATATTATATGTTATCCCACATGCTAGAGAGTTCGCTCTCCTTGTCACCACCTCATTCAGCAACTGAGAAAGGTCCACAATATCAGGCCTAATGTAGGTTAAAGTTGAAATCAGAGGACTGCTTATTTTAGAGCTTTACTTGGAAGTTAAAATTTCTTTGTTTGAATTTGGACCTAGAACATAAAAGAAGATCAAAACAAAATGAAATTTTAAAGTGTGATGGTATGAAAACTTGGATAGTTGTTCTTGGTGGAAATAGTGATGCTCATGGATTGGAAGGCAGTATAACTGCTAAGTGTAGAATGGAAAGCTTTGCACACCATTAAAGTATTCAGAATACATTCTAGACTTCTGGTATTTTGAGCAAACCTTAAGAATGTAACTGGTATTTTAAAACTATTGAGTCTGGAAGGCTGCAAGGAAAAGAGCTTTCAGGTTGAATATATCTGGGTAGCAATCCCAACTACCAGTTTGGTAATCTTGAGAAAACTACCTCTGAACCCTATTTTGAAGGTTTGTTTTTTTTTTTTTAATTTCAAAATTGTGTTGTTTTCTTTATTAACAGAAAAGGAGTAGGTTATTTTAATCAACTTAATATGTTCATTACCATGGTCTTTGTACACGAACATTCTCTACCCTTTCCTCATGGGTGTAATAGGGTTGAATATTCAGTATGATAATCAAATCCCCTCTGCACCCATTCTGGGAATCAATTCCAGGCCTTGTGTAGGCTTGGCACTACCACTGAGCTATATCACCAGACCTAAAAGATATTTTAAAAAGACTGAAAATCTCCAAAATGAGAAAAGAATTAAGCCCTACCTTTACAGAATCACATTATTTCTGATCATGTTGGTATGCAAGTTAAGTAAAATAAGGAACTAGTTTTAAAAATAAGCTTTTCAAATATGAAAAAAAACTGTCCAAGCTTGAGAGAAGGGAAGTAAACTCAAAGACTTCATTCAGTGTTATATGTTGGTCAAAGCAAAATCTGCTTTTTCCTCACCTGGGCTACATTTTACATATATTTCTCAAAAACTAAAGCAGCAGCTTGGTTTTGGCAAACCCTGATACTATTGTTAGAAGGCACCTGCAATTAATTTATAGTTGTGCCATCCTGAAAGACTCTGGATATAGCCTAAAACAAGTGTCGATGAAATTTAGTGGATGAACCCACAGTAATTAAAATAAAAAAAAATGTAAAAAATTGTCCACCGACTTAAAGGGACTTGAAATATTCTAACAGTTCTTTTCCAGAAATAGAAATGTTTGAAAAGTAGCCAGGTACACCTGTAATCCCAGCGGCTTGGGAGGCTGAGGCAGGAGTAGGGTGAGTTCAAAGCCAGCCTCAGCAAGAGCAAGGCTCTAAGCAACTCAGACCCTGTCTTTTTTTTTTTTAATATTTATTTTTTAGTTCTTGGCGGACACAACATCTTTGTATGTGGTGCTGAGGATCGAACCCGGGCCGCACGCATGCCAGGCGAGCGCGCTACTGCTTGAGCCACATCCCCAGTCCCTCAGACCCTGTCTTTAAAATACAAAATTGGGCTGGGGATGTGGTAGAGTGCCCCTGCGTTCAATCCTGGTACCAAAAGAAAAGGGACCTTTTTGTAAGAAAAGGATGACTTTAACTCAAGTGAAGTGACCAAAGTTCTCTGAAAAATTTATGCTGTGGATTCATTCTCTTACCAGATCTAGCTTTTGTTCTGCCAGCTGGTTTAGGCTTAGCCAGTTCTAGGTGTGGTAGGCAGAACTGTCAAATCATATTATGCATTAATTACAACAAAAGCAGCCAAAGTCTTATGACTCTACCTTAAATAAATAGTTCAACAACTCTCTCATGGAACATCAAGGCACTTACCTCCTGGTAGACCTCAAGGCTCCTAGAATCTAAGGTTAGCACTGCTGCCAAAGTAAACAGTCTTAGCATCTCTTTTGACTTAATTTCCCCACTTTCTTGTAGACTCCTTTACAAGAATTAATAGTCTCTACTCACCAAGACAAGACAAATGTCTTTAAATTTATTGTATACTTATGAAATTAAAATTGAGAGGCCAAAAATTAAAGGAAATACATAAAACAATAGATTCCTGGACAATCAAAACCATAAACACTGGAACAGATCATTATTTAGGAAACCTTTCTTATACACATGAATAATCATGCCTGAAACTTGAGGCTGCTAATATGTACCTAGAATTTGCTGTTGGTAACACCGTAGGATCTGGTTAAGTTGGGGTAGACAATTTCCAAGAAGAAAACAAAGGTCCTTAACCATCATTCCCCACAATTAAGCAATAACCGCATCTACATTGGCCTGGGGAGAAAGTCTTTGTGTTCTCAGTGATTTCTCTTCAAGAAGGAGTGTTTCAGGAGCTGGAGAGCTGAAGGTCGCTCATGCTGGTCCCTAAGAAGGGAAAACACATTAGAAGCAGCACCCAGTAATGTGCCTGTAAGATGCACTTCACCCAGTGCAGACTTTGAAGATAAAAGTACAGCCACCAACTGTTCAACAGACTTGGGCTGAGTCCAGACTCCAGTTTTCAGCTATGTAATCTTAATGACTCAGATTTTCCTCATCAGTGAAGTGGAGTTAAGAATAATACCTGAGTTAATAATAATACCTTAAATAACATACATCTATACATCTGGGTTTTAAATGGTAGACCTGTAGTAGTTCAAACCAAAAAAGCCCCTCTTTTCTATTCTCTTGTTCAATTTCTTTGGGGTATGATTTACACACAGTCACACTTTCATGGGTATAGTGCAATACGTACTTTAAATTAACATTGGAATCCAGAACTGAAAAAAATTTTTGAAAGTAGACACTTAGACACTTAATTTTAGGAAGTAGACACAAAGTGCATTTTGGTGATAAATTGCAATACCACCATGTTGGGCATTTTTTTTTTTAACTTTATTTTATTTATATTTATGTGGTGCTGAGGATTGAACCTAGGTCTTCACATGTGCTAGGCAAGCACTTTACAACTGAGCTACAACCCCAGCCCCCACTTTGGGCATTCTTAAATGAACATAAAGTAAAAGGAAATGGTTGCTGAGTACTATTGTGATTTAGGGTTTTTTCTTCAAGAAATTAAAAGCTTTTGGAAATGTTCCTGCTCAATAAGCAAATTGGCACACTACTGAAATTGTCAATCATTAGCTGCAATGAGCTATGCCAAAGGCATTCTTTTGCTAGCTTTTGATAGTTTGAAAGCAAAATGACCACCACATCATTTTTCAGGTGAAGATGGAAATAAACTACTTTTAGGTGTTTTTTGTATATCATTTCAAAATAAAAATCACCATAAGAGGCCCTTTCTCCTGCCTTCAAAATAGAAATCACTCCTCAAAAATCTTTCCCTTTCCATCTAACTGCTATCCTCTTTTATCCCTTCCAGATGTTCCTAACATATCCAAGCTTAGTGAGTTCCCCCGTGCAACAAAACTTGTTTTCCCCTAAATACTTAGTCATTTGGCCCCTTGCCCTGTAGTATTTATCCTCTTGATATTAAACAGATTTAATGAGCTCATCCTTGTCTCTGAAGCATTTGAAATACTCACTATTCCCTCCTACCGGAAACTGTCTCCTTTTAGACTTAGAAGGAACTGTGCTTTTGATTCCCCACCTCAGGCAACTCCACTCCTTACCTCCTTCCCTTTGTCCCCTCCTTTCTCCAGTTATACACCAGACTTGACGCTGTGCTTATTCTGTTAGTTTCCCCCGTGAGCACTTTCAAAACTATTTTCCTCTTGGCTACAGCTGTCAACACTTAATCATTTTTTTTTTTTTAATGTTGTTTGGTGCTGGGGGTTAAACCAAGGGACTTAAACATGCTGAGCACACTAAGTGATGTCCCAGCTACTGCAATGTTTTAAAATTGTAAATGCTAAAAGCAGTATTCTCATCCAATTTATTTCCTACCACTTTCCCAGGTCCACTTCTGTCCTGTTCAGGCCTTGCTCCTGGTCTGTACCGGATCACCTCTCTTCCTGAGTCTTTAAGACTGTCTCATCCTTTACATGCACACCTCTAAGGAATATCCTTATAGGAATCAGGTGAGATGCTAGGGTCCTTCAGGGTTTTGCCATAGAATTTCAGGAGGTAATTATATATATATGTTATGATGCTAATTAGATGTGTTAGTGTTCTCCCTAATGGTTAGTAAACATGCGGTCTTAATTGTGTGCCCCATACACAATTTATACACACCATTTCACTTCACAACTCTGTTAATTTATTATTAGTGGTATGAGTTGTGTATTTGCTTAGTTTATGAAGCAATGTTTCAAAAGGAGAGCCATAAAAGATTCCACTCCCTTTAAAGAGCTTTGTGTTTGTATTGTTTATGTAAACACAATGACAAACTGAAAGAAAATGAGGTTTCTAGCTTTGAGTCAATAATAGGTAATTGTTAAACTCACACAAAGCAACTACAGTAATTGTAAAAGCAAAGACCAATCTCCACATCTAGCTCTGTTCCCTATGATATTCCCAGCACCATTGTGTGTGTGTGTGTGTGTGTGTGTGTGTGTGTGTGTGTGTGTGTGTTCTGTGCCTGGGGCTCTGTCCACAAAACCTACACTGGGATACTTAAGATGAGTCTGCATCTAGCAGTGCCAGAACTACCCCCTAGGGTATATGTTCTTGCTCTGGTCCATGTGCTCATCCTAAAATTCAACCAGGATAGGCTGATAAATATGTGCTGGGAAAGGGAGATGGGCACATTTCTTGGCAGACAGATAGCCCCCTATACCCGGAGACAACAATGACAGTCACCCAATATGGTCATTGTTAGGTGCAGGACAGGCTGAGCTAAGTTGTCTACAGGGCAGGCTAAACAAACAGTAGCTACAGGATAACCCACTCACTCAAATCCTCCTCTGTCTGGTCCTTTATCACCTGTTTGTGTCAAGGCTGAACACTCAAACCCCACTCAAGGCTGAATACTCGACCCCCAGCAGTCTGGTGCAACAGAAACCCACATCTGACCCCTGCCCAATCTGCCTGGCAGAATATGACACTACTGTATGATCCAGACCCAGAGACCCCATCAGATTTTGGCTATAAAAACTCCCTCCTGTCGGGCCCCTCTCTCCTGCTCTTGCTCTCTGTCTCCCTCTCTTGATCTCTCTTCCTTCTCTTGCTCACTCTGTCTCCCTCTCTTGCTTTCAGTCTCTCTTTCTCCTCTTTTGCCATGCTGCAATAAAGATCTCTTGGTCACTCCAAGTGTTGTGGTCACTTTCCTTTCAGTCATGATTACTTTCAGCACAAAATCATTCCCTGTTTAATTTCATAAATGAAACCGTTTTTAATGGGTCAGAAATTATAAGGCCAGTGTCAGTTGCATGGAATCTCTGGGTATTTCTCTCTCTCTCTCTCTCTCTCTCTCTTCCTACTTTCAGTTTCTTACCTGGTCAGGCACATGCGCACAAAATCTGATGCATTTTCTGAGAAGTGGTCTGGTAAAGGAGGCATCAGCCCTCGGTGGGCTCCAATGTAAAACATGGCTGCCATCCTGTCCATGGAAGCCAGTGGAGGCTTCCCTGTAGCCATCTCAAACACAGTGCAACCAATGCTCCAAATGTCTGATTTCCTTCCATAGCCAGACTCATTGATGACTTCTGGGGCCATCCAATATGGAGTCCCATGCATGGACTTAAGCATGTCACTGTGAGTGCCATTTAAGCCTGCCCAAGCCAAACGCTTAGCACAGCCAAAATCGATCAGCTTTATGATTCCAGTTGGCATGAGCATAACATTATTTCCTTTGATATCTCGATGGACCACACAGTTCTCATGGAGATAAGCAACACCTTGCAGAATTTGTTTTGTATATTTACAGAACACCATCTCAGGCAATGGTCCAAAACGGTTTATAATACTAGAAATTGAGCCACCAGGAACAAACTCCATGAAAATGCTTACAATGTTCTCTTCCAAGCAAGTCCCCAAATAAGCCACAATGTTGACATGTTTCAGTGCTTTAAGTAAATCTACTTCTTCCTGCAGTTTCCGGTATTCTTTTTCAGTAGCCAATTTATCAGAGGTATCCAAGGTCACCTGTTTTACAGCTATTAGCTGCCCTTGGCTAGTGAGACCACAGTATACCTAAAAGCAAACCAATACTTGATTACTAAATTTAAATGACATAAAGGCATGTTTACAAAATGCCTCATATGACATTTGACTTTCCCATCTCCTCCAAAAGCTTGTGTTCTTCTAAGTTGCTACATCTCCACCTAAATATAGAGTATTTAAGCAAATTCTGTTTCAGTTGAGCCAAGAGGAGGATGAGCAAGAAGCATGGCAATGGACATCATAATGACTAGGATTGACTAGAATCCTGGCTTCACCATTCTCCAGCCATGTAACTTTGAGTAAGTTGTTATTGTGTAATTTTTTTGGGGGGGTGCTGGGGATTGAACCCAGGGCCTTGTGCATGCAGGGCAAGCATTCTACCAACTGAGCTATATTTCCAGCCCCTGAGTAAGTTGTATGATCTTTCTGACTTCATTTTTTTGGTCACCTGTAAAACTGAAGTAAAATTACTTACCTCAAAGATGTCTATGATGATTATATCCTATGGTGGTTTGGTAAATCTATTCAATGAATAGACATAATTGGGTTAGGTCAGATCTAAAGCTCCCTGGAGAGGACACAGGACTTGGCAGTCACCCTTATGATGTGATATCAGGGAGTTTTGTGTCTTTCCACCTTCTCACTGATTCCTGAAATGTCCCCAGTTAGAGACTCTGCAGGTCTCATTTGGGGGTCAGTCTTTGTAAATACTATCTAGACCACTAAGATTTTAGATTTCATAAAAATTTTGTAAATTTTTATAAAATTTACAAACCACAAGGAACACCTTTTAGTTTTTCCACCCAGCAATGAGTTCTGCCAACTTCTGGTAGCATCTGGAGCTAATGAAGGAAGACATTTCTTTCCCCTGGGCTTGAATGTGGAATAATGAAAAGCTAGAAATGAAATGGCCACTGTACCACTACATGGAGCCTGGTGGACAGAGAGACAGTGACCAGATCCTGATGATATGGTTTGACTCCTGAAATCACCAGTGACAAGAGCCAGACCAACCCCTTACCTTACAGATACATAAAGCAATAAATGTCCTTTTCCTCAAGCCAGTTTGGGTTGGTTTTTCTGTTACTTCCAACTGAAAGTGTTTGAATTTGAAGTAAGAGTGTGAGCAGGAGGACTTGGGGAAGATGGTTAGAGAAGAGAGGGGTGGAGGAGGGACAGGGAGTTCTGATTTCTAGTTTTTATGGTAACTTACTGTGCCGTAGGCTCCCTTGCCAAGGATCTCACCCTTAGTCCACAGGATAGGTTCTTCATGCTTTAAACTATTTTCAGAAAATGTCTTCTTTTCATTTGAGTTGAGAAATTTCTCTTCCCTGTCATATATCCCGAACCCATTACTATACCTCTGGAAAGTGAGACAAAAAGACACCATTGAACTCTGAGTGTTGGGATAGAGAGAAGGGGTGCAGAGTACTGAGGAGTCTTCCTTTCAAACGCACCTGACTATGGCTCTTCTCATTGCTCATGGGTAACCTCTAGACACAGATTTCACAAAACTAACCACAAAGAATATCTTATTTGTATGCTTCAGGCTTACTAACTGTACACATCTCCACACATTTTGTCTCATATACTTTGTAGAAGGAAGTCTTATATAATTTATAAACATACAAACATGCATGTATAGCACATATACACATACACATATGTACTGAGAGACACACCTGCAGCCACTATAAATCCTTCCCTCTCCTCTGCCTGCCTTTGAGTCTCTGTCAAGTAATAGTGGTTGACTCCCTTGATACAGTAAACTCTGAATAAATAGCCTTTTTGTGTTCTTCATTTATTTCCAGTATGCACACATACACTCAAGCACATATATATGTACACAAACATACACTAATATACACACATATGCAAACATACACTAATATAAACACATATTTACACACAAACACCTATCATTAGTTTCTATCTCTTTCACACACATACGCGCGCATATGCAGGCAGCCTCAACAGGAATTCAAGTGTCCAAGACCAGCCATAAGAAGCTGAAGACCCACAATCCTGAAGACCCTGGGACCACTCAAAAGAGGATCTCTAGGCCAGCTGCACTGGTACTATTGGAAGCCTGTTAGGCTCCAGACAGACTGAATCAACATCCACATTTTAACAGGATTCCCAAGAAATTACGTTCATTCACAGTAAACCTTGAGAGCTTCTGCCCCTGAAGTCAGGAGACAAGCATCCCTCTGAAGAACTTAAGACCACTTTTCCACTGGGCTGACTGGGACCAAAAATGCTTCTTTTTCATCTCTCCTGGGGTTGGAACCAGCCTGACCCCACCATATACCAGCTGCATGATTTTCTAAACCTCAGTTTCTTCAATATGGGGATACATTGTTACCTACAATACTTATAGAGCTATTATGAAGCATAAAAATGAGAGAATACAATGTTCCTGACTTTCATGTAGTAACTTCTTAATAAACCTAGCTATGGTATTTACATTGTTTGTTCCTCTGCTCAGCTTTTTAAAATAAATATACCTGACATTTCCTGAAGAGTGTATCTGCCAATCTGCATCTGAAATACCATTACTATTTTCAATGTCTTGTAAGTGGCTGATATAGTGTGGATATAGTGTAATATAATCTGTCTTAGTGTTCAGTAAAAAGCATTTTAACTTAATCTACTGTTTCTGTCTTTAAAGCCAAAACAAATAAGACCTGACTATCTGTTGATATTCTGTTCTCCTCCCCTCCACCGTTAACTCCCATGCTGAGTAAAATGTTTAATTTATTTTTCAGTATTTTTGTTATGCCTCCTTGAGAGCAATAGCTGAGTATTAGATACCACTATCTCCAGAGTTCTTAGCACAGTGCCATAAATATAGTAGGCATCAGTGATAAATGAATGAACAATCTGAAAGCAGGTACTCAGGTGCAGGGACTCTTCATGTGAATGAAACAGTGAGCTGCTTCACTGGTACTGATTATTTATTGAATAAAATATTTCTTGAGTAAAATACAGACATTATTTAAATAAATAGTTTGTCTATGTTAACTTATCCCAAGTGACTTCATTGTAGTGACAAGCTCAATTCTAGAAGCAAGGAATATTGGCCTGGAGGGTGAGACCTTGACTCTAACCTTGCAACCAAACAATGAGACCTTGAAGAAACTATTTAGTTGTCTTGGGTTTATGACTCCTCTTTTGAAAATAAAGGGTTTGAACCAGATTGTCTCTGAGGTTTCTTCCCACCCTGGTGAATCTTTAATTATACCAACCTGTATTCTGACATTTGTTGTCTCTCTGCCCAGTTCTTTGGTAGTATTTCCTTTCCTACTGAGGACAAGATTTAGGTTCTCAGGATCAGTTTCATTTGCCATCATTTGGGAAGAGTTATTGTCTTTTTCATCAAGAGCTAACAGTTCTGCAGCTAGACAACCTAATAGTTCATCTGTCAATTCTTCTTTCTTTACTGAGTCCAGAATTTCTTGGGAAATTGAATTTGCATCATTTAAAGTTGTTCCAAGTGTTTGATATGTGATTGACTTATTTGCTAAACTATCTTGATCCAAAGAATGTGCCCAGTGTTGATATGTTTGGGAAGATGCATTTTCTTGTTCCTCTTGGAAAGAGAAACCCCCAAGTGTTTTGGGGTTATCCAAAACACTATCAAACTCAAGATAATTTGTTAACATTTGGCTGGAATCTATTTTATGAAGAGGTGCATTATTATTCTTTTCTTCAAATGCATACTTGTTAGAACTCTTCTCACTGGGCAAGACCCAGCTGTTTTCTGAAGGGACAAATGGGATCTGGTGATGTAGCTCTTCAAGTTCTTGCAGGTCTCTAAGACTTGTGGCAAGGATTTGATTATTGGAAATGTCACCTTCATCCGTAGACTCTTCCATAGATATTTCTTCAACTATAGATATATCTAGGGCAGGAAGAAGCTCATTTTGTTCAGGGAACTGCTCAGGAGTTTGGGCCAAGTTCATAGTCTGAACTTCATCTTTGGAAGATAGAAAGACATTTCCTGAAGAGTGTATCTGCCAATCTGCATCTGAAATACCATTACTATTTTCAATGTCTTGTAAGTGGCTACCTATAGCCTTGCAGCCCTTTTCCTTAGAAATTGAACTTTTATGCTTTTGTTTAAGGCCAAGTGAAGGCTTTGTAGGTTTAATATGTGGTCTTTTCTGAGAAAGTCTTGCTCTGCTGTTGCTGTTCCTCTCACTGTGTGAAGATCGACATTTATTAGAGATACATCTGCCTGATGGAACTGAACATATCTCATGATAATACTTGTTTTCATGCCGTTCAGCCTCTCGCAAGTGACTATAAACAGGGGTCCCAAACATTTCATAGATTCCAGGTCCATTAGCAGTTGAATTGATTTCCTTGAACATGTCACTATATTTAAGATCTAGGTAATGTAGTCTTGGCTCTGTTGGTTGAACAGAGAGAGGAACACATGGCTTTTTTATTCCTGGATTTTTACATATGCAAGGAAATGATTGCTTTTTAGTTTTCTGAGTCCAATAGCTGGATTGCTTCTTTTCTAATGGTGGCATTCTCCTTTGAAACTTGGATGATTGCTGAGGGCCAGAGTCAACAAACTCCAATGCAGGGAAAATCTGAGTTTTTATGCTAGTTTTATGCATATTAGGCTTAATAGAAGCTTGAATGGAAATCATGAAATTGTGAGGTGTCCTGTTGTTTATCTTGGTCTTTGAATCCAACTTACTTCTATGGGTCTTCATCTTACGTTTGTCATTTTCTTGGTGTGCAAGAACATTGAAGCTATTGTTACGAATAGAGCTCTTCCTTTTTTGGAGGCTTGGCTTGGTTATCGCTGTTTCCTTGGGGACTCCATCTCCAGGGAAAGTAATGTGGATAAGAGGCACCAGCCCATTCATCTCTGGTTTCATTGCTTCTGCCATTGATATTTTTACATTTGTCCCCATATCATTATGACCTTCTGGAAGCTTTCCAAAGGGGCCATCAGAGACTACACTGGACAAGCTTTGAAGTACTGTAAACTCTTCTAAAATATCTCTTGGTCTCACTGTTTCACCCTTATATACTGAAGAGCTTTTTGAATCAATTTTGTCATGTCTAACTTCTTCATCCTCATTTGGTGTTATTTCTGTATGCTGAGCTTCTTGGAGCTTGCTTGGAACAGTACATACAGTTTCTGCATTTTGTTCAGATTTACTGGCTGCTGAATCCTCTTTCTTTCTTGATGAAAAATCTTGAGGGTTCTCTTCTGCTTTTCTCACTTCAGGACCATGACATTCAATATCCTTTTCCCTATCTGTAGAAAGTTTGCCTTCCTTAATATTCTCAAAGGACACCAAAGACTTCCCTTTTTCAAAGAGAGAGATTTCCATGTTGTCCCATCCTTCTCTTTCCTTGGATTTCCAATTCACCTCCACCTCCAGGTGTTGCCTGTGATGATCAGACTTCCGAAAAGAGCACATGTTTCTTGACCAAATGGAGCTATCAGAAAACCTGAGAGTCTGATCCACCAACCTTTTCAGTGGGGCTTCCTGCTGCTGGTTTGCTGGACTAAACTCATCAGATGAACTGACCGATGCTGGGAGTTTAGGTATGAAGGGTGTAAGGCTTGAAATATTTCTTTCTCTCTCTTTTGGGAACTTGTAACTTTGGGGGAGAGTGAGGACACCAGATCTCATGGGCAAGAGTGACAGTGGAGGCAGAGGGAACTAAAAGAAAAGAGGAAAAAAAATAATGAATATAGAAACATAAATAAATATTATGTTAACTTGTTTAAAGACTTGTGTAGAGATTCTAATACTCTTTTAAGGAAGGCCTTTAAAGTACAAACATATCTATCCTAGAGATCACAATTTTAAAAACTAAAACCTCAGGCCAGAAGTGTGCCAGAGGATATACTTAGAATGTATAAGGACTGTGTTCTATCCCTAGAATCAAAGCCAGCAAAACCAGAACACTAAAATCTCATTTCCAATGCTTTTATTTTTAGAGCTAAAGTAAAACAATCCTTAAAAAAAAAAAAAAATTAAAGACTCATGGTTAGGCATTTTAAAGGAAAGCTATTCAATAATGTAAAATGTTAAAAGTTTTAAAACATTTTCTGTTCTCTTTTTACTTTCCATAAGAATTAAGATTTTTTTTAAATAGCCAGAAATTGAGGCTGCATCTGTTTTAACAATGATCATTTTATTATTAACTAGCTCAAAGTTTGTATCTGGAACACAAATACTCAATCTTTTTTTGCAGAGTTTTTTTTTTCTTTTTTTCTGAGGGTGGTTTGTAAATGTGCTACACTTCTTACTTGAATGTTAGCAACCTGGACAACTTTTTGTTCCTTTTTGCCATTTTCAGACTAAGCTAGTTTTTATTATTACCAACCTCTAGAGGTCAGTGTAACACTTGTCTGTACTCATGAAGCTATAGACTATTCAGTGCTTCTTGCTGTGATCTTCTCCCATGTATACAGATTCTACATCTAATTGTATAAGGATATTTATAGGCATTGATCATGTGTGGAACCTGAGAGTATGAATTTAATTTTCATTCTATTACCACCTATGTGTAGGAAGGAAGGGAAAGGAACATGATTAGAGACTTTGGCATTAGGAGGAGGTGAGATGCAGTGTGGTCCAGTTTTTTTTTTTTTAATATTTATTCTTAAGTTTTAGGTGGACACAATATCTTTATTTTACATTTACAAGGTGCTGAGGATCGAACCCAATGCCTCGTGCATGCTAGGCGAGCACTCTACCTCTGAGCCACAACCCCGGCCCCGTGGTCCCAGTTTTATTGTCTGGGTTTTTTTTTTTTTTTCGTTTCTCAAAATTAACTTAGGAAATACAGGCAGATTTTCCCAGTGCTTAAATATCTTCCTAGTAACTGCCACTCAATTTATAGGCAAACAAGATCCTTTTTAAGACACTAAGCAATATTGATATATAAGTATTTTCTGAAAAGCTCATTGGATACAGAAGGGTGAGGGAGCTTGAGAATTGAAATATCTTTTCAAAAGCTTTACTTATAAATTAGAACATCTTTTCACCATTGAAAAAAAGAATTACCTAGTTCCTACATAAGTTAAATTACTTCAAATGAAAATGTGTATAAGAAATATTCTTGGGGCTGGGGTTGTGGCTCAGCGGTAGAGTGCATGTGTGAGGCACTGGGTTAGATTCTCAGCACCACATACAAATAAATAAAATAAAGGTCCATCAACAGCTAAAAAATATTTTAAAAAAGAAATATTCTTGTCACATAAGAGATCTTTCACTCTACAGTATATCCTTTGTATCGTTTTAACTTTGTACTATGTTTCATATTTTATGTTTTCATAAAAATAAGTTACATATTTCTGAAAAAAAATATTCTTGCCTCATTATGTTGAGGACAGGAAACAGCTTGGAAAAGCAATGTATAAGGAAGGAGATGATTTTCTCAGGAATGATTTGCCAGTCTATAATTTATATGAGTTCTTATTTTTCCAAGCTATAATTGCTGACTTTTTGATTCTGAATTGTTTGATAGTTTGTCCCTAACAACCAAAGTTCTTTGCTTTTTAATTAAGTCAAAAATGTTAAAACTAATCTTACCTCGATTCTTCGGCTACTGTATTTCATATCAGAGGTAGAAACTTCTGCAAGAAGGAAAAATATAATTGGATATTCTTAGTAATAGAGTATGCACTGTCATAAGCCAGAGTTTGGGGGTGGAGTAATTTAGACCCTAAAGTCTGAGAAAAGTGTTAGAAATTAAGAGCTTTTCCCTGAGTAATCCACATGGAAGTGGGTATGGAATGACTATACAGAACTTTAAACAACTGCCACCAGGAGGGGTTATTTTATACAGTAGTTCACCCTTGTCCTCAGTTTCACTTTCCCCAGTTTCAGTTCTCTCTGGTCAACAGAGGTCTGAGAACATTAAATGGAAAATTCTGGAAATAAAAAATTCATAAGCATTAAATTGTATGCCATTCTGAGTAATGTGATGAGATCTCACAGGGTCATACTCTGTCCTGCTCAGGACATCATCCATGCAGTATACACTTCCCACCCATCTCAGTCATCAGGTACACTGTCACAGTTCTTGTGTTCAAGTAACCCTGATGTAGTAGCCTAATGTCCTGTAACAACACCTACATCATATCACCTCATTTCATCTCATCATATAAGCATTGTATCATGTCACACCATCACAGGAAGAAGTGTGAGCACAGTGCAATCGGATATGGAGAGAGAGACCATATTCACATATTTTTTATTACACTATATTGTTATTATTGTTCTATATTACTATTAGTCATTGTTACTCTCTTACTGTGCCTCTTTTATAAATTAAACTTCATCATAGGTATGTATGTATACGAAGAAACAGTATACATACTAATCAACAGTTTCAGGCATCTACTGGGAGACTTGGAATGGATTCCCCCATAGATAAGAGATAACTACTATATTTTGTATCTATATTCTGACTGAAATGCAATATCTCTGGATCAGAGATAAGACCATTTATTACTCACAGAACATCAAAATACCAGTTCCCCGCATCCAAATTCCTCACAGGGTGAAGTGATCAGAGGCATATGTTTACCAGATGTTTATGTATTGGGGGTGCATCACAGGAAGGAACCCTGAAATGCAACTCCAGCAGTATTACAGAGTGGTTGGCACATTGGCCTATCTTTTCCTCCTGACCAAGACTTTTACTCTGAAATGTAAGTAAATGTCTTTAGAACAAGGAGTAAGGTATTTTCCTAGGTTGGGCAATCTTCTGGAGGAACCTGGTGGAGGCAGGTCCTATCCTCTGTCTAAAAATTACACTAAACCCTTGCTCTCCCTACCCCAAGTTTGGCCACTCAGCATTTGGTTTTTAACCAACAGCAAGTGATACAAAAGCCAGGGCAAGTGAATTTATTCTGTCTAGTGGTCATGTCCATTGGCAGTGGTGGCAGTGTCCAGTGTCCAGCAGGGGGCAGCAGTTCCTGTAGTGTGGCCTTAGCTGTGGCTTCAATTGCCTCACTTCCCTTAGTTTCTGCACATTTTATGAGCTTGGTTCTCCAAATATTTTGTAATTCTTGACAGGCTTAAAAGACTTTCAACAAACTCCTTTTCTTCTTAAACTAACCATGTTGATTTCATTTGCTTGCAGTCAAGAGTCCTGATTGATATGGATTACACAAATGGGATAAAGGAACACTTGTCTTTGCATTTGGCAAAGAAGGGAGTAGAGATGGATAATGGTGAAAATTCAAGGTTTTCTTTTCCCCCTCCAGTTCGTGCCTACACCACCTAACCCTCCTTTTCTTTGAATTCATCTTCATTCTGAGACTAAATATGCTTCTTCTTTTTCCCATCACTACTAAAGTAGAAGCTGAATTCTGTACAAAGTTGGCACGGTGCTAAAGCACACTGGCTTCAGAGATAGGCAGCCCAAGTCTGAACCCAGCCTCTGTAGCTCACTAACAAGGAGTCCTGGACACACACTTATGTCTTTCAGTCTCAGTTTCCTTATTCCTAAAATATAGGATTTTAATAATATTAGAGGATATTTGTGCCTTGCAATCATAGGTACACAATAAATGATTATTGTACAACATGCATTTTGAAAACACACATTTATGTGCTAGGTATGATGTGAGGTGCTTGGAGGTACAATGATTCTTGCCTTTATAATTTGAGGAAGACAGGCACATAAACAAATAATGATAATTCAGCATGATGGGTGCTACGTTGCTGGTAAGATCAGGACCCTATGGGAGTTCAAAGGAATTGGCTACTCTTCCGTTCATGGGGGGGCTCAGAAGTTTTTCCAGAGGAAGTGATATCTAAGGTGAGACCTAAAAGATGGCATAATATTCCAACAGAAAGAACAGTATTTGGGGCTGGGGATGTGGCTCAAGCGGTAGCGCGCTCGCCTGGCCTGTGTGCTGCCCGGGTTCGATTCTCAGCACCACATACCAACAAAGATGTTGTGTCCGCCAAAAACTAAAAAAAAAAAAAAATATTAAAAAATTCTCTCTCTCCCCCTCTCTCTCTCTCTCTCTCTCTCTCTCTCTTAAAAAAAAACAGTATTTGTTCAGGGAATGGAAGGTATTTTGTAGTGCCAATGTTTATCATATGCTGAGGAAAAGTGGCAAGGTATGAGGCTAAAGAGTGGCTGCTCAAATGGGGAGCTAACTTTGTAGATTTCAAAGAAAAAGATTCTGAATCTACTTTGTGGTCCAGACTTGATGTTCATACCTTTAAACACAGCGTTTCAAATCACTGCTTCAACATGTGTTAAATGAAAAATGCTAGACCCCAAAGAGTACAAATTATATAATTCAACCTATATGAAGAACCTGAAATGGTCAAATTTATATTGAGACAGTAAACAGAGTGGTGATTACCAAGGGTTTTGAGGAGTGTGGTGGAAAGGAACTAATTTTTAGTGGGCACAGAGTTGCAGGTTTACAAGATGAAGGTATTCTGGGGGTAAATCATGGTGGTGTTTGCACAACAATGTGAATGTACTTAATACCACTGAACCATACACTTGAAAATGTCTAAATGGTAAATTTTACGTTATGTACATTTTACCACAATAATTTTTTAAAGTTAAAGCAACTCTCATTTAAAGTTTACTTAAACTGTTTCCTTTTCCCAAAATTCATATTTTTTTTCCTTCACTTGGAAAGATGACTCACAGTTCCTCTGGAGTGCAATCTCCCTAATTTCAACAAGCCAATTAATGCAACTTTTTGGATGGTAAGTATGTTCCTGGTGGTTTAGCTAAAGGGTTTAGGACAGCAGTGGTAAGCAAACACCAACAACAACCTTTCCACATTGTGAGGAAAGGTTGGCATGAAAGCTTCTATATTTGTAACTAAGTTTGGGGCTCCATGTAATTGGAGGTTGTTCTTAGACTCTTACACTAACTTGGGGATCCAGGAATGAGGCTAAAGAGGATTCAAGTCAGTAAGGAACCTGGCTACTAGCAGATACAAACTCAAATCCTCTTCATGGAAAACATCCTCAGTGTAGACGCTTAAGATTTCCATAGGAAAAATGCCAATAAGATATGAGCTCACAATAAAGACTTTCAAGTATTCAAAAGAAAGAAAAAAAGAAAAGAAAAGAGCCAACAGTAGTTCAAATCAATGGAAACTGGAAATAACAGATTTGGATCCTTCAAGGATTTCAGATTTGGGGATCACCAAATACAATACAGTTACAATGTCTTAAATGCTTAAAGATACTAAAGATGAAAAAAAATTAAGATAAAAAAGAAGAAATCAAAATGAAACATTCTCAAAAACGAACAAAGCATATTTGAAGAAGAAACAAATGGAACTTTAAAAATTGAAATATAATTGTTAAACTAAAAATTAAATTAAAAAATGAATGGGTCTGCTGGGGGTGGTAACACACATATTTGTAATCCCAGTGGCTTGGGAGACTGAGGGAGGAGGCTCATGAGTTCAAAGCTAGCCTCAACAATTTAGTGAGGCCCTAAGCAACTTAGCTAGACCCTCTCTTAAATTAAAAAATATAAAAAGGGCTGGGAATGTGGCTCAGAGGTTAAGGGACCCTGGCTTCAATCCTCGGTACCAGAAAAGAAAAAAAAAGGATTACCATCTTATATCATGACTACCACAATGAGATGCCACTCTACATCTACCAGAGAGGCTAAAGTTAAAAAGACTGGCAACAGGGCTCGGGATGTGCCTCAAATGGTAGCACGCTCACCTGGCATGCGTGAGGCACTGTGTTCCATCCTCAGCACCACGTAAAAATAAATAAATAAATAAAGATATTGTGTCCACCTAAAACTAAAAAATAATTTTTTTTTAAAAAAAGACAGGCAACAAAAATGTTTGTGGGAATGTGAAGCAACTGATTGTTCACAAGGATATAAAATGGTACAACTACTTCAGAAACATACTGGCCATTTCTTTGTGTGTGCGTGGGGCAGCGGGTAATTGGGATTGAACTCAGGGGCACTCACCCACTGAGCCACACCCAGCCCTATTTTGTCTTCATTTAGAGACAGGGTATCCCTGAGTTGCTTCGCACCTTCTTTTTCTGAGGCTGGCTTTGAACTCACATCCTCCTGCCTCAGAAGGCATGCGCCACCGCACCCAGATTGGCCATTTCTTAAACATATAGCTACCCTATCCCCTGGCAAATTCATAGTAGTATATATAACAATCTAGAAGAATCTCAAAAATGTCAAGCTAAATGAAAAAAGGATCACATAAAAGAATATGTGCTATGCAATTCCATTTATGTGGAAATTTTAGAACAGGCAAAACTTATCTGTGGTGGAAAAAAAACAATATAGTTGTCTTGGGGTAATGGCTTAGTATAGAATGGGAAGGAGCATGAGAGAACATTTTGGAATTCATGTTAATGCTCTATATCTTGCTAAGACTTTGGGTTTCACAGACAATATGAGCTTGTAAATACTCAATGAAAGTACATCAATGTACACTTCCAAATGAAAAAAAAAATCTTCAAACATATATGGAACTCTAATTAATAACAATCATCCTGACATTTTGGGGAAAAGTATACTGATATCTGCAATTTACTTTTAAATGCAACAAAATTAAGATGGATCAGATATATGATAAAGCAAAATAAAATGTTAAATGTGGAATCTAGGTAGTGAATATACAAGTATTCAGTGTAAAAAAATTCAACTTGCTGTATATTTGGAAAATATTATAAAATGTTGGAGAAAAAAATCAATGGATGGATTTAACAGCAGATTAGGTAATGCTGAAGATGATTAGTGAATTGGAAGACTTGTAAAAATAGAATTACCCAAAATGGAGAAAATAGGAAATGGAAAATTTGAAATCCAGGATAGAAGATACAGAAGAGAGAAAAATAAGTACTAATATGTAATCTAAACTGGGGATTCATAACCAGACTGTGCATAATTTAGCAAAGATAGAACTATAAGATATAATTGGTCATGCTGTACCTATTTTTAAAGCATCTTTTAAAAGGCTGTTTAAACTTGCATTTTAGATCACTCTCAGCTATCTCCCCAGGTCACTTATAATTCTTCTCATGTACTAGGTGACCCTATATAATCTGCACCCACTTCATTGCAGTTCAAATCTCCTTTCCTCATACTCACCCCCTCTCACTCTGTACCAGCTACAATGTTCTACTTGTTCCCTGGAATATTTTCCCCTGAAACATAAACATAGCCCATTTCCTCTTCTTCTTCAACTATCTGTTCAAGTTACATTCTCAATGATGTGATCCCTCATTCACCCTATTTAAAAATTTCAAACTTCTTACTATAGTCTAAATGTCTGTGTTACCCTCAAATTCTTAACTCCCAAAGTGACAGCATTAAGAGGTGGGCCTTGGGGACTGATTAGGTCATGAAGGGGAAGCCCTCGGGAGTGGGTTTTAGCCTTTATGAAATAGACCAAGTGAGCTTGTTTGCTCCTTCCATAATGAGCGGGCTCAGCAAGAAGGTACCATCTATGAATCAGGAAATGAGACCCCACCAGACACCAAATTTTATGACATCTTGATCTTGAACTTCCCAGTCTCTAGAACTGAGAATAATAAATTTGTCAGTTTAGAAGCTACCCAGACTACATTCCCCTTGCCCACTTCTTTTTCTCCATAGCATTTGCCATCATCTAATGTTCTATATATTTTACTTGTTTACTAATTTATTGTCTACCCTACTCCTACCCACCACCCATAGGAATGTGAATTGCACAAGGACAGGGTTACTGTGTCTTGTTCACTGCTATACCTTCAGCATTTATAATAATTCCTGGATATAATAAATAAATATTTATTGGTCAAAATAACAAAACAATCATGTGGAATTAAATGCTTAACTTACCTTCTAATTTTCTTTGCTGCCCCTTCAGAAAATGAGGAGCCTCTTCTCTGGTTACAGTTTTAGAGATGTCTGGTTCTAAGCAACGTCTGGGCAACAAAAAGTCCAAGTTCACATCACAGAGATCCTTGGAACTTTCTTCTTTCTTTGGAAGTAAAGGCTCCATGGTCAGCATCTTTGTCTTGAGGTCCACCATCTCAATTTCATTTGGGAGAGAAACAGAATTTGCTTGTGCCCATTCTTGATGCACTGAGGTTATCTGACTAAAAGGGGAGACACAGTTTGATTTAGAATCCATTCACTGCTATAGTTTAGCTCTGGAGTATCTCCCAAGGGCTCATGTGTTAAAGGCTTAGTCACTAGCCTATGGTTCTACTGGGAGATGGTAGAATCTTTTGGAGGCTGGGCTTAGTGGGAAGAAGTTAGGCCACTGGGAGGGGACATGTTTATTTTTGCCTCCTAGCCAGCATGAGGTGAGTAGCTCTTTCTCCATGCATTCCCTGCCATGATGGACTACCTCACTACAGGCCCCAAAACAACAGAGCCAAAGTGACTATGGACTGAAAACTCTAAAACTGTGAGCCAAGATATATCTTCCTCCTTTTCAGTTGATTATCTCCAATATTTGTCACAGCAATGGACAACTGATATGTTCACTATGTCTCCCTGATCTCCCATTCTCAGGCCAGTCTGATCTTACTGGAAAGTTTGGAGAACTATTTCCAAATGTAGTGGCTGAGTAGAATGGCTGTATCCTGAGAGGACAAGGTCTCTCCACACTATGACCCACTCCCCACTTCCTCTGCCCTTTGTACCTAGAACAAAAACTTGAACGGACTCAGTTCCAGTCCACTTCAGTTTTTCCTAGTCTTTATTTCCTGAAGCAGAGAAATCAGAGCCAGAGAGCAGGTGCAAGAACTGTGCCTTCTATCTCCAAAAGCATTAACCAGATCAATGCTTCTCAAACTATCTTTGGTAAAGGACCAATTTTTAAATTTTCCAATCCATTGTGGAATGTTACTTTGTAAAATATAGTAAAAATAAATTACTACAAAAATGAAAGAAAAATAAAAAACTTGCAGAAAATCATCCCCAATTTCTTAAAATTATCTGATCAATGAATCTAAGATTTTATTGTCAAATTTCTAAACAACTTTTTAAATAATTACCCTCAAGTTCTGTACAGATCTTATCATGAACTGGTCGTACATTTAAGACTCACATTTTGGATAGCATTTTTCTGAAGTGGGTTCAACAAACTATTGCCCTGGGGCCTGGTCTGACCTTCAGCCTGTTCTTGTAGCTTTAATTGGATCACAGATACACTCATTTTTAATATATTGTCTATAGCAGCCTTCAATTAACAGTTGCAAAGTTGAATCATTGCCACAGAAATAATTGCCCACAAAGCCTGAAATATTTATTATTTGACCTCTGCCACATAATAGTTATTGTGACCTTTGCTTTAGAGCATTGTTTTGGATTGAATTACTGAAAATGTAGGTTGCCACATAAATATCATCACTTCCTACTTAAATTCAAATCAAACACCTCAAAGGATATTTCTTACCTGCATTCTTTCGAATCTTCTTGGCTCATTTCTTGGGGATGATTGACATCACTTGGAAAAGTCACAATAATCTCCACACCTATAGAAAGGTATGATCAAAGAAAGTACTGAATTTCAGTGGTAATTGGAAGAACAGACTTTAACCAGCATCTGAGGTTTAGCCATTTTTGTATCTTTCTTGTCCAGCATATGCTAGGTCCTAAACTAATGCTTACTTACAGAGCAAAAAATCTGAGCCAGAGTCAGTGGCACATGCCTGTAATTCCAGGGACTCAGGAGGCTGAGATAGGAGGATCAAAAATGCCAGGCCATCCTGGGCAATTTAGGGAGAACTGTCTCAAAAACTAAAAAGGACTGGAAATGTAGTGCAGTAGTAAAGCACTCCAGGTTAAATCTTCAGTACTGAAAAAAGCAAAAAAATCTGTATAATAAAAATTTCCAGATGTAAAATACCATTTTATGATGAGCAGCACTGTCTCCTGGGTGGAGAAAACACAGTTTTTTGTTTTTTTTTTCTAGTAAAGTGTAACCAATGACACCTACCTCCCAGGACTGCTGGGAGAATTAACTGAGAGAATTTATATAGCCTCAAAGCAACTTGCTTGTGTTTATAATTTTGTTCATCTCCCATTTGATTCCACAAATGATTCCCAGTGTAACCCTTAAGTGGAAAGTTTCAATTTGTAGAATCAATGCTCATTGCAATGTCATGTTTAGCAAATTTATGTAAAAAAACTAGTGTGGGGGAAAAAATAGTGTGGATCACTCTAAAATTTTACCAGTACTTTAAGGTTTGTTCAATCATTCACTTTTTCCCATCTGACAGACTTGTTAAATATATGCCAAGCCCAAGGCTCTGGGATGAAGATAAAGAAATAAACAACATGGGGCTATGGCCCTAGTGGAGATAAGAAGAAAGCAAAGAATGCAGGGGGATAGCCAGTGCTGTGGTACCAGTGTGAGGAGGGGCTTGTCAGTCCTTTGCACGTGTTTGTTTACTCCGTCTGCGCATGCCTGACAAGCAACTGTTTTATAAGCTCCGCTGACTGAGGATGCTAGGGATGAAGTATCACAAGGAGAATAAGGGAAGAGAGTGAATCAGAAAGATCTGGGTCAACATGCCTCCTCTGCCACTTCCTGGAAAGTCGCTCATAGCTATCATCATCTCATTTAGTATATTTTAATTGTTTTTAAAGGACTTTTGATATTTTATCTAATGCATATGAACCACTATAGTGACAATTTTTTTTTTTTTGTACTGAGGATAGAATAGAATCCAAGGGAGCTTTACCACTGAGCTTCATCCCCAGTTCTTTTCATTTTTTTTTTTTTGAGACAAGGTCTCTCTAAATTGCTGTGGCTGGCATCGAACTTGCCATTCTCCTGCCTCAGTCTCTCAAGGTGCCAGGATTATAGGTGTGGACCACCACACCCCGAATGACAGCATATTTATTGTTCAGTTTCATACCTGTGCCTTTTAACGAGACTAATGCAAAAAGAAAATAAAATTTTCCAAAGGACAAAGTTTTACTTACAATTAGGCAGATGATAATGGTATTTACTGTCTTTGTCATCCAACATATTTTGTGGTATCATCAAAATGCATCTGGCTTTAGTTTCCTTCATGTTTAATCAGACAAAACAACTTGACTGTGTGCTTTCTAACATTATACAATAGCAAGAAATGCCTCCCTAAAAATGAAGGGTATATATTTTTTTAACTTTTCAAAGAACCTATTACCACACTAATAAAGGACTTGGAATTGTAGAGCTGGAAGGAATTTAGAAGTTATCTGATTCAAGCCCTTCATTTTAGAGACAATGAAAATGATAACCATGAGTTGTGTGGCATGCTGAAGGTCACTCTTCAACTTGAAAGGAAGATAGATGTTTTTCATAACAGTTTTGTAGTCATCCTCGTGTGTGAAAACCTAGCTGACATGTTAGAGTGAGAAAAACACACAGGATACATTCCAAATATCTAAACTGTCAATGTAAAGGATGTTCTGAGACAAAGGTTAGGTACATTCAGCGCTTTACTGTGGAAGCTAGAAAACTGAGTGTGTTCATGAGAGCCATATTTTAAAATGTATTTATAAATCCAGAACATTTTCAAGCAAATTCAAGGTACTCAAAAAGTCCAATTGACTGATTTCCTATTAAAACCAAGGAACAAAGATACAATAAGCAAGTATAGGAAATATCTGACTTTTTGGAAATTGTTAAGAGAATGGCTGTGGTCCTAATTATTGGTCCAAAATGGGAGGAAAAATGTACTGACTCTGAAGTCTTTTAGAAACATATAAATATTCCTTTGGATCTGTTTCTTGAATATCATGAATGGCCAAGGAGCCATGAATAAGGCCTCTGAACCTATCCAGTAGGTCAGGAAAGATGATGTTTTGTCATAGGTTAAAATAAAGCACTTGAGTGTTTTATCATGGCCAAGCGCATTTTTCACATAAGGAAGTGTAAATTAACCTTGCCAGAAAATGTTACCATAGAGAGAAATTAAAAGGCCACATTTCAACAAAGGCAGAAACACATTTGCTTCATAGAAAAAGGGAAAATGATGTTCATTAAATCTCAGAAAATGATCATTAACTTTTTGTTAAAGCCATTTTTATTAAAATAGAAACTTGCAATCTAACTCAGCCTAACCTATTCCAATGCAGAAAAATTATTGTCTCCAGAGAGGTCTTACTTTCATGTATGTTCCTTTTTTCTGTTTAAATTGATGCACATATCCATCTGGGTTATGAGTATTAAGGTTCGACATGCTTCCACATTCTTTCCATGTTTTGATAATTTCCCAATTTGTGAATCTCAACATAGATTATTTTAAAATTCTATCTTCCACATTCCTGTAAGTTCAGAAAGCTTACTTGAGAGACTAGGGCACATGGATTGCATGAAAATGACAATGTACAGGAAATCCTCTGTGCTAAGTGGGCGTCAGTAGAGGGAGAAGAGTCTTTGGTTAGTAGTAGGAGAATCTTTGGGGCCATGGCAGAGGCAGTATGACTTGAGGGTCAGTAGCCACCAGGCTTGAAATATAGTTATGGAAATTCTTCCTGATAGTCCAATCTAGAATTTTCCTGTTATGGACTGTTTATGTCCTCCCAAAATTCATACGCTTGATCCCTTATCCACAGTGTGGCTGTATTTGGATATGGAGCCTCTGGTGAAGAAACTAAGATTGCATGAGGTCATAAGGATGGGGCCCTAATCCAATAGAATTAATGTCTATATAAGAAAAGATCCCAGAAAGCTCATTCCTTCCTACTCCTGCTTTCTCACTCTGTGTGGACAGAGGAAAGACCACATGAGAGAAAAGCAGCTTTCTGTAGACCAAAAAGAGAGCCCCTTACCAGAAGCTGATCCCTGCCAGAACCCCAATCTCGGATTTCCCAGTTTCCAGAACTATGAGAATATAAATGCTGTTTAAGCCACCTAGACTGTGGTACTTTGTTATGGCAGCCAGAGAGGACTGAGACATTTCTCTCTGATTTTTCAATGATTTATGACCTTTCTCACGTCTTTAAAAAGTTCTTCCTTTTTTTATATTTAAAAAAAGTTTTTAGTTGATGGACTTTTATTTCATTCATTTATTTATATGTGGTGCTGAGATTAGAACCCAGTGCCTCACACATGCTAGGCAAGCACTCTACCACTGAGCCACAACCCCAGCCCCACTTTTTAATCCAACTAAGGGTTAATTCTGTTCCTGAAACTAAGAATCCTGACATATTTATATCGTATTTAAAAAAGGTTTTTTGTTTGTTTATGGTTACCAGGGATTGAACTCAGAGGCATTAAGCACTGAGCCACATACCCAACCCTTTTCTGTATTTTATTTAGAGACAGGGTCTCACTGAGTTGCTTAGCACCTCATTTTTGCTGAGGCTGGCTTTGAACTCTTGATCCTCCTGCCTCAGCCTCCTGAGTCACTGGAATTACAGACATGCGCCTGGCTAAAAAAGATTTTAACTTAAGGTCAGTAATTTTAGGAAACAGGTTCTTATTTTCTCATGAAGACAGTAAGTTTACAGCTCAATTTCTAGTCTACAAGGTCTGTGCATGCTATCTTCTGGAAAAAATGTATGATTGAGAAAGGCAAGTAGATTCTTCTATAAAGGAAAAGGTGGACTTTTGCCTGTAAATTGTATTTTACATGTTATCCTCTCTAACCCGTAATAAAGCAAATGCATGCTGCGAGAATTACTAAAGCTTTTCATGCAGAATGTTGAGGACTATGAAGTGATCCAAACTTTAGGAGTTTATATATATTTTAATTAATGATGTTCCCTTTTGTTGGATAATATGATGGAGAGATGTGAATTAAATGACTAAATATGTATAAACAGTCACATGGTGTATGTATAAGATGTTCATAAAGTATGGGAGCATTTTGAACATTAACAATCGGGCATGCTAGAACTGACATGTAATTGGTATTTAAAGAGATTAAATTGATATTTAAAGAGACATACATGACATTTAAGATAAAAATGCGCAACAATACTCAAAGAATCTCTTCATTCTGACTTTGGGACAGAAAAGAGGTACTAATTCAACCAAAATCTACCAACTCCAAGGAGAATTTTTGTAAGGTCCTTGCTTAGCATCTGGATGGCTGTCTTAAGTGACAGTCTCCATTTTAAGAAAAATTTTGCTTTCCCACCCAAGGGCATTTCTGAGAAAGGTTCACCATTCCCTCATATCAACCCAACCCTTTACCGCCACATTAGGACCCGCCCAGCTCTGATTCCTGAGCCTCCCCCATAAAAGTCCTGAACCCCAAGCCTGTTTTCCTCTCTCTGTCTATGAAGAGATGGACTTTATTGGTGAGCTTTGGTCTCTGTCTTTCATTTCTTGCACACCTGTCTCCTGGTTCCTCACTTTCCTTTCAATTTTCATAAGAAAGATCATCATTTCTTGGAAATTTATAACCCAACTTATTAAAGCTTAAAACTGCACAAGCTCACTGGAGATGCTGCCAGTATTATGATTCCAATGTGAAACCGGAAGTCTCATAGATCAATTTGAAAAGAATAGCTTTCACCGCAAATGGCAAGTCCTCTCCAAGTTAAGCAGAATAAATGGACGATTTCACCTCTTGGTAGGTGCCCCTCTGACACCATTAGGCTTCTGAGGACTTGGTTTTGAAGTCAATGGACATCAAAGGCAGACCACAAGGACTGTTTGGAAGGGGACCAAGAATTGTTTATTTTAATAAGCTCTTCCAGGCTTAATGGTGTTCATATATTAACTATTGCTAAATTTTTCTCTGCCCTCAGCCTAAGAGGAGAGTCCCAATGAATTTGAGGGAGGCAGGAAGCAGACCAGCAGAGGGCAGCAGGTACAAGGGATTGAAAGAGATGGAGCAAGGAAAGAGCTGCAGCCTTCAGGGAGATGCAAAGGGATGAGAAAAACAGGTATTCTGAGAGAGCAGCTTCCCTGGAGTGTTAGACTAAGAAACCAGAAAATTGCCAGGGAGAAATTGGAGCAGTTCAAATAATCATTTAATTTGTGAAGGTTATAGATGAATAGTTGGTAACTCTTCTGGAGCAAGAATCTACAAATACCTGTGGTCTACAAAGGGCACATAGGGATATTGCAGGGTATTATATTTGAAGTAGGTGTTATTATGAAAAAATAAAGCCTCACAGGCTCACTCTCCCACCTTCCCCTCAAAAGGAACAATAGCTCAGGGACCACGGCTGATGGAGAAATGGTGGGCTCTAGAAGAGGGCAGATTCCTGGAGCTGTTAAGAAATGGGGGAAATTATGTCATTAGACAAAAAGGAAAGGGACAGAGAATGGTAGACTGAACTGGAGTTGAGTGGACTAAAGAGAAGAGCCAGGAAGCCAGGCCTATAATCCCAGCTGCTTGGGAGGCTAAAGCAGGAGGATCTCACAAGTTCAAAGTCAGCCTCAGCAAATTAGTGAGGCACTAAGCAACTTAGTGAGATCCTGTCTCAAAATGAAAAATAAAAAGGGTTGGGGATGTGGCCTGGTAGTTAAGTTCTGCTGGGTTTAAAATTCCTGGCACCGGGCTGGAGATGTGGCTCAAGCGGTAGCGCACTCGCCTGGCATGCGTGCGGCCCAGGTTCGATCCTCAGCACCACATAAAAATAAAAACAAAAATGTTGTGTCCATCAAAAACTAAAAAATAAATATTAAAAAGTTTAAAAAAAATTAAAAAAAATAAAATTCCAGGCACCAAAGTGGGGTAGGGAGCCAGAAGAGATTTGCCCATTTAGATAGGGGTAACTTGCCAATACTCACTAATTCAGACATGGACCAAAGGACAGAATCATGAGTGGTTTTTATTTCACCTTGTGCCTTTCTATATTTTCAAAGTTACACTGAGTACTTCTGAAATTGGGGGAGAAACCCAAATAATCAATATTATCTTTGTAAACATATTAAGGACAGAAGTTGGATACCTTCTGTCCTGGGTGACCAGTCTTTTCCTTCACCCCTGAGATCTCCTTCTTCACTAACCAAAAAGGAATGACTGCAGTCTTCATCTTGGTCAAATTCCTGAAACATCATAAAATAAAAACAGTTATTCAATGTACTACTTTGTTGGCAGGATGAATGCTGAGTTTTCAAGGCTAAGTCTCACACTGTGGATTCTTTTTAAATTGGATGAGGAATTTAGGACTAAAATAATGGGAAAGTATCTACCCCGGAGCACCAGGCTCAGATAGTCGCAGATGTTATTAATTGCATAATCAAAAACGAAGATCAAAGCGGAGATCACATGGACACATAGAAATTTAATATTTTATACTTTCTCATTTCAGCATTCAGGCTACTAAGCTGCCACAAATTCCATCTGGATGGGTAACTGGAAAGAATCCTTCAGCCACAGTCACAGTGAACAGCCCCAAAGGAACATGATCTTTTGTATAATGCCTCCTTGAGGCATTGTTTACGAATGGGCGAGTGGCAAGGATGTAAATCCCTGCCCCTTGTGGAAGCTACAGATATGACCCTAGACTGAAGGAAGCAGCAAAGCTGATTAGAGTTTTCACTCTGATGGCTTTGTGATCTAACCATGGTGCACAACTTCTCAAACTTCCTTTGTAACCTTTAGAAAATGATCATTATATTGAAAAACAGTTGAAAACAAACTTGATTTATAAAAAGTGCTTTAAGCTCTTTCTAAAGTGGAAATGTTTTCTTAGTTGTTGTTTGGTTCCTTCATTACAGTTGTTCTTGTTGATTTTTTTGTTTTTAAATGTCTAGAACCAGGTTGGGTATGTAGCTCAGTGGTGAATCACGTGCTTAGTATGTGAGAAGCCCTGGGTTCAATCCCCACAAGTCCCTGTGAACCCTGCCCCCCACCACCCCTACCACCCCCAATTTCTAGAACTACAACAGGTGCAAATAGTAGTTAAAACATCCCATCACAACCTGAATGTTCTAACTGGCTTTCATTTCTATGATCTGGATGAATCACCTATTTCAGGGATCTCTGGATGAAAAGTCTTTGCCCTAAATTCAGGTGCCTGTCATCTGACAGTTCAGACAGTAGTGTATTCCAAAAGCTTTTGATATTTTATTCTTTGATTCCCAAGACAGCTTAGAAATTTTTTCTTGCTTTATTCATTATAATTATCACAGAAAATAATAAAAGTAAGAATCCTCCATTTATACTGCCATTGAAAATAGTTTAAAGTATTCAATCATGATAACTTAGTTGTCTCACTTTTGTGCTGCAGTTCTTACTTTTATAAAACATTGTCTATCTCCTGGCACATTTGAGCTGTCCTGTCTCAGCTCATACTGGCTGTCTGTAGCAGATGGGTTCATTTTGCTCTCAGGCTGTTGTCAATTTCATTGCTTCTCTGCATTTCAAAAATTCTACCAAATCTGGCAAATTCCTCTCCTTCCCATTCAATTGCAAAAGAGGAGGACTTTACTCTTTCACAATGTATGTACATACCAAAAAAATTCTTTTTAAAAAGCAAGAGAAAAAAATCGCCTAAAACCTGACAACTAAAAAGCAAACCCTGTTAACATAGAAAACATCTTTTCTTTATATTTTTCCTAAGTATTTAATAATCTCGTTGCATCATATAACTTTTTTTTTTTTTTTTTTTTGGTACCAGATTTGAACTCAGGGGCACTTAACCACTGAGCCACATGCCCAGTTCTATTTTGTATTTTATTTAAAGTCAGGGTCTCACTGACTTGCTTAGTGTCTCCCTGTTGCAGAGGCTGGCTTTGAACACAAGATCCTCTTGCCTTAGCCTCTTGAGCTACTGGGATTACAGGCGTGCACCACCACACTCGGCATCATATAATTTTTTTGGCATGATATATATATATATTTTCACTTAAGTCGAGCATAAGTTCTCCCTGTCTTTCGCCACATGATCCCCCGCACTGCCTCTGCCAGCAAGAAGGACATCTTTAGACGTGGACCTGGACCTTGGATCAGGACTGTGAGCCTAAATATACCTCCTCTTCTCCTTATAACTTATAAACGATTAGCATAAATTTATAAGCAATTTATTAAGCAAACATCATTTTATTGGAATTAAATATTTTTCTTCAATTAATATCTATCAGAAGGTCATAGAAGTGTCCCTGTGTAATAAGTCTCTTAAGTCTTCGACTATAAGAGCCTTCTGCTTGTTAGGACATTTTTCATTCTTCATTATTACACATAGTGCTGTGGACATCTTGGCAATGCAAATCACAATTTTGCATTATTTTCTTAGAGTAGATTCCTGGATAACAAATTATTAATCCAAAGAGTATGAAAAATCTTAACCTTTATTTACACACACTACTTTAAAAGTAGAGCTTACACCTACTATAATCCACCAGCAGTGTGTGTGTTCCACTACATTTCTTCCTTTATCAATTATAATCACTTTTCATTTTTATTAATGTACTATATAAGATTGGCTATCTTATTATTATTTGAATGTAAACACACTAATGAATAGGAAAGTTAGAGGTAGATCTTAATGATAATTTTTTTTTTTTTTAGTATTTATGGTTTTCACTCAGATCCTTAGTCTAGAATACTCGATGAGACCACAAAACATATTACTACCATTTCATATAGTTGAAGTGACTCAGTGAGATTTTTATGCTAAATTTTGGGGAAATAGCAACCTCATTTGAAAGTGTTAAATATACTACTGGTTCTCATGCTAAGTTTATAGGTTGGCTAATGAGCTCTGGTCAATCTCAACTGCTCAGTTCATTTAGCAGGTGGTCCTTTAGGAAGAGTTAGAAGACAGCAGAGTGTAAGCATACCTATCTACCTACAAAATACATAGCAATGTCTAGCATATACATATATATTGCCAGACATTGTTTTATGTACCTTACATATATTAACTAATTTTATTCTCACAACAAACTCTAAAGGTAGGAACTATTATTTTCATTTTACACACGAGACCCAGAGAAGTTGAGTAACTTACCCAAAGTCACATAGCTACCTGTTACAAAGCCAAGATTTACATTGTCAATACTCTGAAGTCTGGTTCCAAAGCTTGTAATCATTCTACTGTCTTTCTACCATGAATAGTTTGAAATAAAAAATTTCAACAAGAACCAGAAAGAAGAGAATCAATAATGAACAAAATGAAGTTGTGTTATGCAAGAAAAAATGAAAGATGTGTAATACTGATAAGGGTCCAATAAAAGTTTCTGCACTGGAATAAACAAAAAAAACATCAAAAACAAAAAAGATATTAGGAATAAGGTATACCTGAAAAATGATCCTGGAAAAAAAAGGTTAATATCAAAGCAGCTCATTTTAATTTCTTATAGAATGCTAATTATGAACAGTTTCAAGATATGCTTGGGGGTCACAAGGAAGAGAATTGAAATAATGACATCTAGTAGTGAGTGAAAGAGAGAAAGCATTAGCAACTTCCAAACACAGATGGATTTCATAACCCACTGACAGCAAACCAGGAGGCTCAAGATGGAAGAGAAATAGAGCATAGCATTCTAACTGCAAATACTAGATCACCAAGTAGAAGAGAAAAACAGCCTCAAAATCATAGGCAATGAATTTGGAAAGGGTCTCTTCAGATGAAGAAAGACTGGGAGAGTCTGTACAGAGCTTCTCACAAGCAGTCCTACCAGCAAGGCAGCTACTTGTATTTGTACATTATAAAAATCTATTTCAGACAAGCAAGAAGAGATGCAAGCCTCCATTCAAAGAAAAGAAGTGAAGATGACCTTGAGTTTTGCTGTTTAAACCTACAGAAAGCACTAGGGGGAAAAAGGCAAGTCCAACAGTGAAAAAGTCTATTTCACTCTCAAAAATGAGTTCAGAGTTTATTTCAACACCACAGTTAAAAAAAAAAAAAAAAATATATATATATATATATATATAGTGAAAGTTCAATAAAACCTTTGAAAGTGCATGAAAAATGTGCTAATATGAAGGGATTTTTAGTCCTTTTAAAAATTGTTGAACTATACCATAACAAATGAAAAGTAAACATGTCTATTAGTTTCTTTTGGGGGAGGGTACCAGGGATTGAACTCAGGGGTATTTGACAACTGAGCCACCTCTCCAGCCCTATTTTGTATTTTATTTAGAGGCGGGGTCTCACTAAGTTGCTTAGCACCTCAATTTTGCTGAGACTGGCTTTGAACATTGGGATCCTCCTGCCTCAGCCTCCTGAGCCCCTGGGATTACAGGCATGAGCCACTGAACTTGGCTGTGTCTATTAATTTCTAATGCATGACATTCACTTTATAGATTGGTCTTTAGGTGTTTTATTTCTTTTATTATTTAGTATTAGTAGCAAAAACCAATGTAAGCCAAGCGTGGTGGTGCACACCGGTAATCTCAGCTGCTCTGGAGATTGAGGCAGGAGGATCACAAGTTCAAAGCCAGCTTCAGCAATTTAGCGATGCCCTAAGCAACTCAGCGAGACCCTGTCTCTAAAAAAAATATTTTAAAAAGGGGTGAGTTTGTGGATCGGTGGTTAAGCACCTCTGGGTTCAATCCCTGGCACTAAAACAACAACAACAACAACAACCAACCAAACAAACAAATAAACAAAACACCAATGCAGCCCCACAGCAGGGCTTCTCAGCCAGCGCTACTAACATTTAGGGCTAAATAATTCCTCCTTATGGGGCCATCCTGTGCCTTGCAAATGCTAAGCAGTGAACTTGGCCTCTACCCACTAGATGCATTCTGTTCTTCCCTATTTCTGACACCAAAAATGTCTGTAAACATTACCAAACATCCCCTGTGAGCAAAATCACACCCCTCCCCATGAGAGTCAGGATATTAAAATCACTTTGGTAAGATGTTGATTAACCTATTTAGAAAGATGATAAATGTGACAAGTTAAAATATTTAAATTGTGTTAAAAACTTAAAGTTCCTGTTCTAATTAATCTTACCTCATGTCTCAGAAAAGTCTTGATTTAACCATTTTTGTCTTTTTGATTTTGTTTAATTTTTCAAAATTTTTAAAAAATCCAGTAGGGGTAAATGACTTAAACAAACCAACAAACAAAGCCTTTCCTATCCTTTCTAGA